CACCTACAGGGTCCCAAAGGCAGGTGAGCATCTCAAAATGCAAACACACCTGCAGCATATGGACAGATCCAAAGCACAGGGTTTGGATAAAGCTTTCCTTGGCTCTCCCTGATGTTTTGGAAGGGGCATCTCATCACAGGTCCTTTCTAGGATGAAATCCTACTGGTGATGGCTTTTGGCCAAGCAAAATGTCCAGGTAGCCCTTGTAGTCTGTAGCACACCTGGGGCTGGGAGTGATGCCCCATCCCTGGAAGTGTCCAAGGCCAGGTTGGACAGGGCTTGGAGCAACCTGGGATAGTGGAAGGTGTCCCTGCCCATGGTAGGGGGTTGGAATGAGATGGGCTTTAAAGTTCCTTCTAACCCCAACCATTCTGGGATTCTGGGACTTTATGTCCCTGCCCATGGCAGGGGGGTTGGACTTTGTGCCCCATAAAGGTCCCTTCCATCACAAAGTATTCTGTGATTCCACGATGCCTCTCATGGGCACGGATGCTGGGAGCTCTCCCGTGAACTCCACTGCCATTGCTCAGCAAATGGGCTCAGAGCAGCTCTTGGCAAAGCCAAACCAGAGTTCTGGGAGAACACAAGGGGTCAATGGGATCCTGATATTCTCATGTAAAATACAGAATCAAGGCACGAGCAGGAGGTAGTGCATGAAAAAATGCTGACAGTGTGGAAAACAGCTCTGACTTGGGGCAAATTCTGAATGGACCACTCAGAACCAGCACATGTTCATCTGCTGAGTTGAATAACTGACTCATGGCTGATCCAAGAGAGCTGGAGTTCCCCATGGCTTCATTCCTTCTTGGGCTCTGTTAAGGTGCAAGGGACTGATGGATTTTTCCCTTCACTTTTTGCATCTCGGTGGATGCTCTGCTGTCAACCAAGGAGTAAGTTTGAGGCACATCTTTAAGAAGTCAGGTGAAAATAACATGTTGAAAATCCTATTTCACACTTCCAAAGTTGAATGTAGGATCAATGAAGGGAAAACTAGTGTCTGGGTCATTTCTGATGCTCCCTGTCATTATCACTCCTGCCTAGAAAACAACTTGGACTTCACAGCTTCCTCATCATTACATTATATAGGAGTCCACCAGTGCTTTGAGGTTAAGAGATGGATCTTCAGAAGGTAAGACTCAAGACCAGATGAGACTTTTTTGTTTAGACCACAAGACAGGTGCTGAGGCCTCAAATACCTCCTCTAGCTCTGCCTGCTCTCTCTCCATGACTGTGCTCAAGATCCTTACCTATAGAAGGGCAGTAATATATCTCCTCTTACCTGTTTAGGTCCTGTAACTTCAGATAAGGACTGTGCACAGCAGAGTACCTTCAGACCTGCCATCATGCTACAAAACCCCAGAATAAGGAGAACAAAGCCTCTGTCAGTGCCAAGATTCAAACATTTTCCAGGCCATCACAGCCTGACTGTGCTAATTGTTATCGTGGTCAGTGAGAAGTTTGCCAGAGGTGTCCAAGCACTGCAGTCAGAGAAGGGCCCCCGTCTTCCTCTGCTGGCTCCGTAGCAAAGCCTCGTGCTCCTCCCAGAATAGCAACTGTGCAAACCTCGGTGCTTCTCTTCCAAACCCTTTTGCATTTTTAGAAACTAATTTGCAAAGCCTCGGCCCCTGTGGCTACAAGCAAAGCCTGGCTGTCTGTGCAGCCTCCTCAGCCACGGCATCTCCAGGCTTCTGATGCTGTGAGCTTCGACCTGGGGGTGGGTTTTTACCTGGGAGAAGAAAATCCTGCCAGAAGACTCTTGGGATCCTACACAAGGCAAGAGAGGAGGGGTTGGGGATGGGATCGTTGTAAGCAGAGGTCTCTGGGGGGAGCTCCTGACACACGGCAGAGCCTGGGACCCCATTTTCCAGCCACCTGACCCCACACTCTCACCTTAGCTCAGCAATAATGTCATTGCACAGCATCCAGTGGCCCTCACCAACATCACTGGGATCAATTCAGCTGGAGCCACGGGGCGTTAGTAAACCCTACCGAGATCTTCTCCTCATTTCCTATATCCATAACCCACACAGACAGTGTTTTTTAGGTATCCAAAGCCACAGTCTTCCTGTGGAGGGCACAGAGATGAATTCCCATCACAGTGAGCCACAGAGCATCTCCCATCCAGCTCATGCCTCTCGGGATGCTGATCCTTGAGCACAGCTGTCCGGAGGACACCAGATGGTGGGAAGTATCTGCACACCCACCTGCAACCTGCTCCCCTTCCATTCACAGCTTGGATTGAGTAAGGGGGGGATTAAACTGATATCCCTTATCTCAGACCTTCCAGGGATTTCTGCGCCAGCTGACACGAAGTGCTCGCTCTGAAACGAGCAACATTTGCAAGTAATACCTTCCACGGTCAGGGGGATGATGGCACTTAGAAAGCAGATAAATTTTGTTATATTTTTAAGCAAAGATAAACATTGGCTGCCTGAGATTAAACCACCACTCCAGCTCTTCTCTGCTGAAACCAAACTGGCACGTCTACGGCAAGGAGCACTCGGCAAACAGGACTGGTCATCGCAGTAATTCCAGCACGCAGGATTAAACCCCACAACTGCTGCAAGAAATGCACAAAACAATGGCCAGAAATGCTGTGTGGAACCCCTGGGTCTCCCTGCAACCCCTCTCCTCCTTGCCAGGATGGTGAAGAGAGTTTGGATTAACACCGGTAAAATGCAGCATAAATTTAAGTGGTGGGGGAAAAAAACACCACTGGTTGTCAGCTGGAAACTAGAAAGGGGGTAATTCTGGCCTCCCTACAATTTTGTTCTATTTTCCTATTTTTAAGCAATTTAGCAGACTGAGAATTTTGCTTAATGCCTCCCAGATCACACAAGGCCATGCAACAGTTTGACACCCACATGTGACACGGACACACACACACAAGGAGGGAAACCCTCAGCCCCTGTGCTCTGTGTAAAATTCACAAGTTTAGACTAAATTCCTTAATACATCCATGAGTATTTTGTCACAGAGATCACTTTTACTGTCAGTGGGTTTATAGCCACAGTTTAGATTCCCATAAAATTTACATAATTAAAATATTTCAGGTTTGTTTTTTTTTTTTAAGAAACTTCTTTCCTACAGTTTCTTAACAGAACACCCTACGTAGGATCTCACCAAGCAAAGGAAAATCTCCCAAGGGCCACGGAGGCATCAGGACAACAGCAGCACCTACGGAAAAGCAAGTGCCTGTGGCCTCCACGGGGCAGAGGCTTTGATTTCATCACTGAAACGCAATGCAAGAAGAAGCACCAAAATAAACAGCTCCATAAAGCAGCAGGAACGCAGCAAAGCAGTTGGAGGCTCCTCCAGCGAGAATGACCTAAATCCAAGAGGCATTTGGTGCAGATGCTGCTCAGCCCCACAACACCCTGGCGGCCTCCAGGACAACCCGGGATGTACCAACAAAGAAGGAAGAGAACCTGGGAGAAGACTCTTTCTTTTAATAAAGTTACACGGCGATTTTTTTTTTCCATCCCCCCCAAGGCACCCTCCTGCAGTGGCTGCCCCACCCCCAGGGCTGTCGGGGGGGGCCCTGGGACCCCCTTTCCAGGAGCGACCCCGCAGCAGCCGGGGTTATCGATGGAGATGTGTGTAATTGCCCTGTCAGGCAGCTGAAAGGCGCTCGCCTTTAGCTGATGCCACTTCAAAATGAAATTCTTTCTTTGGCACGGCTATGTCTGATATGCAGGCATCAAAGGGGAGGCAGCAGGTCGCCGATGCCCCAGGCCACGCATTTCCCTTCTAAAAAGCAGGGATGGGAGTGTCAGCTCCGGGGCCGAGGCGGCCCTGGAGACCAACACCCATCACTCCTTCCAGGGTTGCTGGAAAGATTTGAGGACCCCCCCCAGCACCCAGAGACATTCAAAGGCTCTCCAGCAGCAAAGGGGACTCTGTGGGCCTGCAAACTGCTAGGATGGAGGGGTGGAAAAGCCTCCCTGGCACAGAGGAGGTTGAGGGCTGGGTTTTTTTTGCTTCCAAGAGAAACACAGGGCCACGCTCGCCTCCCCCCACAGCTCCCATCTCCTCTCTCCACCTGCACTCTTCAGGGAGCCAAGGCTTTTGGCAAGCTTTCCACTGCAGTTTTTATTGGTTTCAACTGAGCTGCCCCTTTCGGAGGGTTGGAAAGCTTCAATCATTAAAGGAAAAGAAAAAAAGAATAAATTAAAAAAAAAGAAAATTATCCTGCACCCTCGCCCTGCTGCCCCTTCCCACTCCAACGATGGCTGAGGACATGAGCCCCACACCACCCAGCCCAGCCCAGCTCCCTATTTTCCAAGCCAAACACAGCCCTTCCAATGCATTTGAGCCAGAGTTTCAAGGCCCTGGATACCTCCAACTGTACCTGCTTGGCTCTGATCACCTTCCTGCTCGGAAGCAATTTAGAAAGGACACAGCACAGGTAGCTATTAGCTAACACATATTTAACTGCTCCAGATATCTTTTTTTTTTTGGCATTGTAATGGAGTGATTTGATCTTCAAAGGACCCGTGGAAACCTTTGAAGCTTCCCCATCTCCAGTGGGGAGGGGAGGAGGGGGGGGGAAATGTTAATAGTTTTAAAACCTGGGGAATCCTGAAGTCGGAGAAAGGGTATAAAACCCACTGGGTTTAGCATAAAGCCCTCAGGTAAATCTTCACCTTCTTTTCAAATGCATTTTTGGTGGGTTGCTTTGCAAAGGCTCGGGCCAGGTTAGCAAGGTCGGCTCTATTCCCAGCGGCTCTTAATCTCCAGGGACCCTCATCTCCCACGTGGCACAGCCCCGGCACCGGGGGATCCGCGGAACCTCGGCGAGAAATAGAAAGACTAAAATTTGCAAAGCCTTTAAGTAGAAAAGGAGTAGGGGAGGGGAAAAAGGGGTCGGAGGGTGGAAAAGACAAGGAGAGAAGATAAATTCCCGGCTGCACTCCCAGCCAGCACAGCCTCAGCAGCACCCTGAGAGCCGAGACACAAAATGCGTTTACCTTTAAAATAATGACTCATTTTATTTTTTTTCTTTTAATATGTAGTTATAAATATATTTTGTCAAAATATATGATCATTATTGTCAAAAACATTTGCACATAAAGTCATAAATAAGGTCAAGGTGAACGTTTAGTTTAGAGAAGAGTCCAGCTATAGCAAGCAGTTCTGGGGTGGGACGGGAGGGAGAGAGAAGGGGAGGAGAGGGCGGCGGGGAAGGGGGTCAGCGGCACCCGCACCCCTCCACCACCATCTCCTGGTAGTTTTTCAGGACCACCTTGTCATACTCATCCAGGTAGAGCATGGAGATGGCGCTCAGCTCCGTGGGCACGCAGCAGGCCTTGGGAATGCTGGAGTTCACGGAGTTCACCAGCGTCTGCACGATGGCGTGGTTCGTGGAGTTGAGGTGGTCGGCCAGAGGGAAGGGGCAGTCCCCGTGGCAGTAAAACGCCTGGTACCCCGGGGGCGCCACGATCCAGTCGTTCCAGCCCACGTCGCTGAAATCCACATAGAGGGCATGGCGGCGGCAGTTTTTTTTGTTCTTGCGGGAACGCTGGTGCTTGGGGCTCCGCCGGGCTCTGCGGGTCAGCGCGTGGCCTCGCCCGTCGTGCCCAAAAGTGACCAGGAGCGGCCTGAGCTGAGCCCAGTCCCCGCGCCCTTGAGGTAAAGATCGGCTAATCCTGACGTGTTTGCCCTGATGAGTCTGTGCGTGGTGGAGGTGGGTCACCTCGATCACCAGCCCGTGGTTCGGCTGCTTGTCCTTGGTCCACCGGATCACAGCCGGGCTCACATCAAAGGTCTCCCAGCGCGTCACGTTGTGGTGCACCAGACGCGTGTCCAGCAGGCGCGTAATGGCCTGAGCGCGCTCCGACAGCGGCTTCATCACTTCGTAAATGTTTATCCGGTGGAAGCCCCCCTCCCACGCCGCGCTCGGCTCCTCCACCTGCTCCCGGTACAGCCGCAGCTCCGCCGAGGAGATCACCTCGTTTTCCGGCACGCTGCTGAGGTTGAAGACGAAGCGGATCCGGGGCGCCTCGCTGGGACCCGGGACGGTCTCCAGGTGCTCTGGAGGGGAGCAGGGACGGGGGAGGGAAATGGTAAGACAAGCAAACAAGAGCACGTCAGCCTTGGGGCACCCAGCCACGGCCCCCGGCGCGGCCACAGCACACACACACCCCCCCTGCGCTTCACCTGCCCGGCGGACACCGGCTCCGCTCCGCTCCCCCGCGCATCCCTCCCGGCCGCACCCGGAGCAGCTCCTGCCCCGGCACCGCTCGCTCGCCTCCGCCCTGACCGGGACACCCCTTCCCATCTCGCTTCCCCTTTTAGAGAGGTTTTTTTTCCCCCCTTTCGCTCTTCCCCTTTTTGCTTTTCCCCCCTCCCAGTCGCTCCAAAATCGTCCCCCCGGCGAGATGCGGCGCCGCGGAGCACAGAGGTGCCTTGTTACAGGGGGCAGGGGGAGAAAGAGAAGCAAATTCCAACGCAGTAATGATGCGGCTGGATTAATAATTCAGATTTACTTTGGAAAAGAAACATCCGCTAGGAAACATTTGGATCAGATTACAAGGGTCTATTGAATAAACCATATAAACACACAGCTGTAAGTATTAAATTCGAGTCGGGGTTTGGGGGGATTTTTTCTTTTTCTTTTTTTTTTTT